GTATCATCAGCGTACTGATGGAAATCCACCCCAAAGCCACGAATGATCTCCCCCAGCGGCTTTACATAAATATTGAACAAAAGGGGGGAGAGGACTGACCCCTGAGGCACCCCACAAGTTAGGGGCCTAGGAGTCGACCTCTGTCCCCCTGCCAATACAGACTGCGTACGGTCGGTGAGGAAGGAGGAGAACCACCGCAAGGCCACACTTGGAATACTAGTAGTAGTTTTGGTCACCACGATGTAAATTAGATGTTGGGATCCCAGAAAGAGTGCAGAGAAGAGTGCAGAGAAGAGCAACAAAGAGGATCAGGGGACTGGAAACTAAAACATATAAGGAAGGGTTGCTAGAATTGGGCATGTCTAGTTTAACGAAGAGAAGGACGAGGGGGGACATGATAGCTGTGTTCCAATATCTCAGGGGCTGCCCCAAAGAAGAGGGAGTCATGTTATTTTCCAAAGCGCCTGAAAGCAGAGAACAAGCAACGGATGGAGACTAATCAAGGAGAGAAGCAACCTAGAACTAAGGAGAAACTTCCTGACAGTGAGAACAATTAACCAGTGGAACAACCTGCCTCCAGAAGCTATGAATGCTCCAACACTGGAAGTTTTTAAGAAGAGACTGGACGGCCATTTGTCTGAAATGGTATAGGGTTTCCTGCCTGAGCAGGAGGTTGGACTAGAAGACCTCCAAGGCCCCTTCCAACTCTGTTATTCTAGTCCAGGGGTTTTCAAACTTGGCCCTTTTATGACTGGTGGACTTCAACTCCCAGAATTCCTCAGCCAGGCACGCGTGCCTGGCTGAGGAATTCTGGGAGTTGAAGTCCACCAGTCATAAAAGGGCCAAGTTTGAAGACCCCTGTTCTAAGTCTATTCCGGTGTCCTCACCTGCATCCAGGTGGCCAGGTCGTCCATTTCGATGAAGTCCAGGATGAAGTTTTTCACCCTGGCAATGGGACCATCCTCGTCTACAAACCGGCAGATGTGGAATTTGTCACAGTAGCCGTTCTTGTCGCCGCACGGTGAGCCCGGCAGGAGCGGGATGTCCGAACCGTTGAAGAAAGGGTCCCAGATCTTGGAGGAAGTGCTGACACAGGTTGCAGCTTGTCCTAGAGAAGCAGTGGAGGAGGGGAAGGGAAGGGGAGGGGAGGAGAATAAATGCTTAGGGTTTGTTTAAGAAAAACAAGAAAACCCAGTTGCCTCGTGAAAAAGCATCTTGGGGATGCTTATGGTTGGATGTCTTCAGGGCAAGCACCACATGGCTGAACCTACCTAGGATCCTGGCACAAGGCAGCAAAAACCAACACATGACTCAGGATCGGAGTGGCTACTGTGAGGAAGAACAGCTGGCAATAACTGATCACTGAAGCGAATTTCCAGTCTTATATTAAGGAAGAGAATATTCGTAGCTCAGGGTTGAACTGTGGAATCCTTGGTGCTTTCTACGCATGGGTGTTTTCTTGCAGACGTTTCATGACCCAGCTAGGTAACATCATCAGTGTTAGAAAGGAGTGGGGTTTGTGGAGAGGAGGAGGAGGAGGAGGAGGACTGTGGGGTCCTTGGTGCTCTCTGAGCTTGGTTGTTTTGTTGCAGACATTTCATGATCCAACTAGGTAACATTATCAGTGCTAGAAGGAGGAGGAGGAGGAGGGAAACTGTGGGATCCTTGATGCTCTCTGAGCTTGGTTGTTTTCTTGCAGACATTTCATGACCCAATTAGGTAACATCATCAGTGCTAGAAATCAGTGGAGTTTAGGAGGAGGAGGAGAAGGAGGAGGAGGAGGAGGAGGAGGAGGAGGAGGAGGAAGAGGAGGAGGAGGAGGAGGAGGACTGTGGGATCCTTGATGCTCTCTGAGCTTGGTTGTTTTCTTGCAGACATTTCATGACCCAACTAGGTAACATCATCAGTGTTGGAAGGGAGGGTGGGATTTACTCTCTCTTTATATACAAGTTGCTTGTTTTGGCCAGAATAAAGACAATAAACAGGGCAAACCTGCCCTTTCCCTTCCTTCCTTTTCCTCTACAGCTAGTCCTCAACTTACAACAGTACATTTAGCAACCACTCAAAGTTAAAACAGCACTGAGAAAGTGACTTAGTTATAACCAGTTGTTGCTGTCAGATCATCACGGCGTCCCCGTAGTCACGTGATCAAAATTAGGTCATGCGGCAACCAGGATGTACTTACGACGGCTGCAGCATCCTGAGATCAGGTGAATCGCCATTTGCAGCTTCCTAAACGGCTTCGGACAAACAAAGCCAATGGGGGAAGCCGGATTCACTTAACGACTGCAGGGTTTATTGAACAACCGCAGTGATTTGCTTAACTGTGGCAAAAAGATAAATTCAGAGGCGACTAATTTAACAACCGCCTTACTCGGCAAAGAAAATGCTGGTCCAATTGTGGGCGTAAGTTGAGGACTAAATGTATAGTACTGAAGTGTGGCATGGCTGGCTGGGGAATTCTGGGAGTTGAAGTCCACACATCTTATCCACACATCTGAAAAGTTGTCAAGGTTGAGAAACTCTGCTCTATACGGTACAAGAGAAAGCTGACTCCTCACCTCAACCTCCAAATGGAGGAACTCGGAGGCAGCTATTTTCACTTAAGACACTGGACAACCACTTGTCTGAAATGGTATAGGGTTTCTGCCTTAGCGGGGGGTTCGATTAGATGACCTCCAAGGCCCCTTCCAACTCTGTTATTCTATTCTATTCTATTCTAGTCCAGTCCAGTCCAGTCCAGTCCAGTCCATTCATTCTATATTCTGTTCTGTTCTGTTTCATTCCATTCCATTCTTCTAATTCTATTCTGCTCTTATTCTATTCTATTCTATTCTATTCCTATTCCAATTCTATTCTTTTGAATTTATTTCTTATTCTATTCTATTCTATTCTATTCTAGTCTAGTCTAGTCTAGTCTAGTCTAGTCTAGTCTAGTCTAGTCCAGTCCATTCCATTCATTCATTCTATATTCTGTTCTGTTTCATTCCATTCCATTCTTCTAATTTTATTTTATTCTATTCTATTCTGTTCTGTTGTTCTATTCTATTCTATTCTATTCTATTCTATTCTATTCTATTCTATTCTATTCTATTCTATTCTATTCTATATTCTATTCTGTTCTATTCTATATTTTACTCTATTCTACTCAACAAACACTGCAAAAAACATTGTAAACTCAGCTTGATCACATGACCAACCCGTTTTACCACCATTACCATTTAACAACCATAATTGGGCAGGCTCCATTACAGTCGTAACTCGAGGACTTTGAGCTTGACGTTTAGCATGGAATCAGTAAAGGTTGTGAGGGTTTCTTTTCCATCCATGGACAGTCTCAAATGTTGGGAACACGAGTGAGGTTAGAAACTGACCTGGCAGCTGGCAGCAGAGACGGCATCTTCCTCGCAGAGGACTAGAGACACACTGGCATTCCTCCAACCCATGCTGGATGCAGAGGGACCCTTCGCAGAGCTGAAAGGCAGAAGAGAAGACTTTTACAGGTTGTCCTCGACTTACGGCCGTTTGAAGTTACCAGATCACATTGACAACCGGTTAATGACTGTGCGATTCGGCCTTACAGCTGCACGATTCACTTAACCGTTGTAAAACGTGTCTTAAAATTGGTTCCAGAGGGGGAGGGATATGGCATCCTCTATCTCCAGTCTACAACACAGTCCTTTCAGCAGTTCCAAGAAGGCTCCACACCCATTTGCACCACTCAGCTGACCCTGAGGATGCAGATAAACCTCCAAGTGGCCTCAACGACTCTCTAGAGCAGGGGTGTCAAACTCAATTTCATTGAGGGCTGCATCAGCATTGCGGTTGCCCTCAGGGGACCAGGTGGGTGTGGCTAGGGTGGGTGCGGCCTACTGGGTGGGCGTGGATGAAGTGGGTGTGGCCTGCTGGGTAGGCGTGGCCAGCTCTACATCGTTCGCATCAAGGGTGCCTGTGGGGGCCTGGGCAGGAGTGGGACAGATCTGAGGGTCTCTGGCAGAAGGGGGTGGGACCGGGGCAAGCGCCAAGGCATGGTCCATTTCTTCATTCCCCACAAAGGGTGACACCTCCCCAGCATGCACCCAGGGGGCGGGGCCAATGCAGCAGGGGCTGGTTCCTCGCTGTTTCCAGACGGCCTTGTGGAGCTAAGACTGAATGCGTTTCCGCATAGATGGCCACCACAAAATTGTACATTGGCTCCCGGATGGCCTGGGCCAGGGCCAAGGCAACGGGGGCCGTTTCCTCACTGTTTCCAGGATGGCTTCGCGGGTAACATGAAACCACTTCGCGGGACGCATCCGGCCCCTGGGCCTTGTGTTTGACATGTCTGCTCTAAAAGAAGGCAAATGACCAGCTGTCTGCAAGGAGTGTAAATCCTTCCATTGCCCACTATCCAGTCAGAGCTGAAGAAGCTTCTTGGAGGAGAAGCGAAACGTCTTCAAGGAAAAACAAGAAAGTCCCGTGGCCTCCCGAAATAAAGCACCTTTGGGTCAAGGATTACCTGTATCAAATAATGCACCACTATGACTGTCAGAGCATGCACAGTCTTATTGTGCTGAGATAACCCAGGAGTAATTATAGTAAACAGTGTTCTATATTAAATGGTGGTTTATCATACACTATCTACAATATCATACACTAGGAACAATATACATACATGTGCAGTGGTGGAATTCAAATACCTGAACAACCGCTTCTCTTATTCGATGCAGGCTTCAGCCTCTGAAGGCTAGAACGGACTTCCGGAAGTGGCATCCATGCACTTCCGGTGGGCTGTTCTAGACCTGGGAGGCCTTCTCCAGTCCTCCGAGGCCTAGAATGGACTTCCGGAAGTGGCATCTTCCTCCAGGCCTCCCAGGCCTAGACCGGACTTCTGGAAGCCAGCCAGTTCTCTGAATGCAGCAAAATTTAGCTACCAGTTCTACCGAACTGGTGCAAACCGGCTGAATCCCA